TAATCTTTAAAGTGTCAGATAACAAATATTATTGGTCATTAATAATGCATAAAGCAAAATGGATCATGAGAATTCCCATAATATCATCTAGGCTACAATGTCGCACTACATCAATCAACATCTTAAAGAAACTGAACAATAAAATGGAATGCATTCTGTGTTCAACTTACATCATTTTGCTGTTTTCTTACATGCAATGGTAAATATACCAGGGTAAAGTATATTTTACCCCTCTGACCTGTATTTCATTCTCTGACAGCTTAATATGATTTTGTAGAGAACTTGAACAGGTTCTAGTATAAAGTCTTCATCTCTGTCCTCTCACTAAATACCCTATAACTATGGTTATAAACAATTACTGATAGCTATACAAGCAGATATGTGTTACTCAGGAAGTCACCCCATCATAAACACATAAATTACCTGTTTGAACCCCAAATAAATAGTTTCAATGACCTAAAGGTACAAAGCAAAGTAGAATTTTGTCTTCATGTATTTTAAATGAGGGTCTCATTTTGACTAATAAAGATATTTTCTTAGATCAAATTTGACAAATATCTATCATTTGAGCTTGTATATGGTGTAGGAGTATATATATGCTGATATCATTTAATATCATTCCCAAAAAATATTATATATGTGGAAATTTGGTGGAAATTTTTTATTTTTTAATTGTTTTTTTAAATTTCGTTTAAATTTTTAAAATTACAATTATTTTTTTACTTCTAATTTCATTTTTATATTTTTAAAGTCATTATACATAACATATTAAAATTTCATGTATGTGTCATTAATAATAAAAAATTTATATCAGTTTCAAGTTTTTACTGACAGGCCATAGTACACAATTAATTTTACTATATGTTCTCTACATTTGTTCCTCAGTACTGAACTTTCCACTGTGTGACAATCAATACAAATCATATGTTAATCTAAAATACCTTCAAAGATGACTTTACGGTTTAATTCTTGTCAAGGGTTGACCTGCATTTTTTTGAGAGGCTGAATTGTAAACAAAACACCAGGCAACGGAACACAGATTTCACTTCCGGATCATCACCATGACCTTATTACTCAATGTGCACTGTCGCCGAAATACACAGAGACAACCACACCATAAGCTCACATTTTAAAGAATAATCAATTGCCTTTAAATCCTTACCAAGAATGCCAAAATCTAACTCTAGTATCACCACCAAATTTAGACCGGAAAAAGTGATCTAAAAATAGACTGGGACTACATTCGTGGGTACTGAACCGGATTTTATTAATTGTGTACCGATTCCACATGATCAGTATTTCGTCAGTTATATCCCAGGGCATCTTCGCTAGCCAAGGTTCTGATGTGCTAGGGTTATCGTATGGGAACCTTCGCTAGCGAAGATGGCTCCTTTGCGAGGAAATTGATGTGATTATGATTTTTAACGTAGCTTTAACAATTTTCTAGTCATATAGCTACCAGGTCTGCAGTATGGCAGTTTATAGTGATGTCTAGCACTGGGGCATCATGCCGCAGACATGTAGCACTATGTCCCACCCAGTCACATTATCCTGACACCAGGCCGACTCGTCCTAACACTAACCTCTTAATGCTGAGCGTCAAGCGAGGCAGCTGTTAGTACTATTTTTGTAAGTCTTTGGCATGACTCGACCAGGGATCGATTTCACGACCTCCCGCATAGGAGGCGGACGCTCTAACCACTAGGCCACCTAAGTACTTTTCCCAAGAACACACCAAGCCAACCAATCAGGATTCACCGGGTGGGCTATCGAAACCACAACCTTTTAAATACCAGATCAACGCTATCCCATCACGATTTTATTGACTAGCGCATAAGACGTCTTAAAATCCTTATCGAATCACTTGTATCTATAAATATTCGATTTGAGGATTTATTTGCGAAAATAATTAAATCTGATTAAACTAGGATCTTCAGTGTGCTAAATAACGGACTGGAGATCTGATTTTAATCTGATTGGACAATGCCGACATCTTCGTTTTATGACTAAAAAATTGCTACAGCTACGTTAAAACTCTCTCTCTCTCTCTCTCTCTCTCTCTCTCTCTCTCTCTCTCTCTCTCTCTCTCTCTCTCTCTCGTTCATGGTCTTTGATTCTCAACTTCTAAACGGGATTCGCAAAGGCCTGTTACCTTCCTTTTAGCTCCTGTGCATAATTAGGCTGATCCTAACAAATCGGGGGGGGGGACTAACTTGGAGGCACTCGTAAGTGACAAGATAATGTGATGTTTGATGGTCGCCGACAACGGAATCAAAGGTTATCCAAACTTGATAATATTACGTTGGTAAATACCGTGGACTTAACGCTGGAGGGGACGGAAGTTTGGAAATTCCACTAGTTATCACCCTTCCCTTTTGATCTGCAAATGAGCATGTCGTATATTTAATGGTGATAACGTGGCCTCCGACTATGAATCTGGAGTGAAGAGGTTGTCGTTATCTTTAGGATTCTAGCAATAAAAGAAACCGATAGTTTATCAATAACCCAAGCTATCACGGGCCCTGGGGTAAGAAACACTCAGGCCTCTCCTAGTTCTTGTTCAAACAACGTGTTGTTAGGCCCCTTACGAGCCCGGGCCCCAGGAATATATCCTCGGTTGCCCCCCTCCTATCGGTCCTGTCCCAAGCAACCCAAACTCTCAATGGCGGGTGAGGGAGGGTGGTAAATTCAAATCAAATAATGTTATGAAGTTTGCAAGACATCTTTTAAAATTGTGAACATATCGGATAAACTCTAAAATATCTTACAAACTTTATGTTGCACATATTCGGTTGTTAAGAAAATTAAATTAAGATATTAACTGTCGTTTATTATGCATCTTGTATACTTTATCATATATCTTTTATATGTTCTCATATATCTTATATACTTTCTCTTATATCTTAATCGAATTATTTTTAATATATCTTCGGAAGCATTTACCATATCTTATAAATCATTTACCGTATCTTATTACGCTTTTACCATATGTTATAATGTGTTTACCATAGGTTATAAAGTATTTACTATATGTTATAATGTTTTTACCATGTGTTTTAAAGTATTTACCGTATCTTATGTCTGTGGGTGAATGTGTGTGTGTATATATATATATATATATATATATATATATATATATATATATATATATATATATATATATATATATATATACACACACACACACACACACACACACACACACACACACGGAGAGAGGAACTCCGAGTAGGCAAGTAATCTAGAGCTTTGACCGTTACGGATCACTGCCATCTCACCTCAGTCAGCGTGAGTTTGAGTTCAGATTCGGCTAACGTGGGTAAGTGAGTAAGCCTGCCAGTAGCTTCGCGTGGGTCGGTGGTTCTTCCCGGGTATTCCAGGGTTCTTCCTCCACCATTATTACTGGCCGCCATGTATAGCCTATCTTGTGCTGAAAAATGGCGTTAAACCTTATAACAACAACAACCATATCTTATAATGTATTTACCATATGTTTTAAAGTATTTACCATATTTTATGATGTTTTTACCATATCTTGTAAGGTATTTACCATATATTATAAAATATTCACAATATCTTATCAAATATTCGCCATATCTTATAAAAATTTCACCATATACTATAAAATATTCACCATATCTTATAAAGATTTTGCCATATAGTATAAAATATTCACCATATCTTATAAAAGGTTTTACCTTATATTATAAAATATTCACCATATTTTATAAATTTTTGCCATATACTATAAAATATTCACCATGTCTTATAAAAGGTTTTACCATATCTTATAAAATATTCGCCATATCTTATAAAAGGTTTTACCATATATTATAAAATATTCACCATATATTATAAAAGGTTTTACCACATATTATAAAATATTCACCATATATTATAAAAGGTTTTACCATATCTTATAAAATATTCGCCATATCTTATAAAAATATTCATTATATATTATACAATATTCACCATATCTTATAAAAGGTTTTACCACATATTATAAAATATTCACCATATATTATAAAAGGTTTTACCATATATTATAAAATATTCACCATATATTATAAAAGGTTTTACCATATATTATAAAATATTCACCATATATTATAAAAGGTTTTACCATATATTATAAAATATTCATTATATCTTATAAAAGGTTTTACCATATATTATAAAATATTCATTATATCTTATAAAAGGTTTTACCATATATTATAAAATATTCATTATATCTTATAAAAGGTTTTACCATATATTATAAAATATTCACCATATCCTATAAAGTTTTACCTTATATTATAAAATATTCGCCATAACTAATAACTTTTAACCATATACTATAAAATAGTCACCATATACTATAAAATATTCACCATATATTATAAAATATTCACCATATACTATAAAATATTCACCATATCTTATAAAATATTCGCCATAACTAATAACTTTTTTACCATATATTATAAAATATCCACCATATACTATAAAATATTCACCATATTTCATGAAGTTTTTACCATTTATCATAAAGTATTTATCATAATATTAATGTTTATATATATCTTAATATGTTTATAATCATTTTTCTTATTAAATAGCAAATTTTCCAACCTTTTTTAAATATAATTTAAAAAGTTTATCAGATATTTCATAAATCTTGTAAGTTTATAGCTTATATTTTTCACATTATATCTGACAGAGTTAATGAGATCTCAAGATTTGTGTGTGTGTGTGTGTGTGTGTGTGTGTGTGTGTGTGATTTGGATTGTTAAGGTAGCTTTAACAAGTTTTCAGTCATATCTCTACAACGTCTGTAGTGTGGCAGTTTAAAATGATGCCAAACACTGGGGCATCATGCTGGAGACATGTATATATCATGTCCCACCCAGTCAAATTATTCTGACATCAGACTGACCAGTCCTAACACTAACTTCTTAATTCTGAACTCTTAGCGAGGCAGCTGTTGGTACCATTTTTATAAGTTTTTGGTATGACTTGGCCGGGGTTTCGAACCCGCGACCTCCCATATCTGAGGCGGACGCTGTAACCAGTAAGCTACCGGAGAGGTTGAGTTTTTAATATAGGATATCTTAGGCACAAAGTGGATTCAGATATCTCGTAATTTGCATTAAGCTTTATCATAAACCGTATATCTTATACATTTATTTAATCTTAATAAAATTGTATATTTAAAAAAAAATCTTATCAAAATTACAATATATCAAATATAATTTACGAGATATACAGTTGATAAGACACCCGGTGAACATGTGAAAAGGTAACTGTGATGTCCTATATGTTCTTAAGTTTATATGATACTTTATAAAGAAAGTCAATCTTAACATAGCTTACAAGATATCTGATATAATTTTTTGGGGAAACGTATTGATTTGACCTTGTAGAGACTGATGTAATGTTGGGATTCGTCATTTAATTTAACAGAATTACTCTCGCGACTGGTCACCGGTATTTTCCATGCCAAAGCAAAGTCGCGAGCAGTTATTACTTTGTAATTACTATTGAAACGACGGTACCTGCGATTTTATCGACTAAATTTGGATAGCTGTCTATTTCAACAGTTCCCTTGGCGATTTCATGTACCATCATCCTCGTACCTCTGGTATAAGAGTTTATTTCCACAGGGCACCGTTTCTGGCAGTATGTATAATGACTTGATTGTACAGAAATAGTTATTTTTGTTTGGTATTTAACGGTACTTTCAGAAGAGGAAAGGGGAACCAGGCGCCTTTCCCAATAGCACATCAGCGCAGCTGGCCTGAGTGATATCAAACCCACGAACATGAGAGAGAGAGAGAGAGAGAGAGAGAGAGAGAGAGAGAGAGAGAGAGAGAGAGAGAGAGAGAGATTGATTTGGTGTTTCCGTTAGACCTGCCATAACTTTTCAATATAAAGTAGAAGTCACTATACTTAATTAGTCTACATATATAATGTACAAAAAATTCAATAATTTGTTAAGGTCATTACTAAAGCATATAATACGGTCAGTACGTTGTATATTTAAACTTGATGGACGCGTTTCACGTTTCCCAAATGAGATCACCCCAAAATACCCAGATGTAAATATATATGTCCCGACCATACCCGTACTCGCGTATTTCTCATCTCTCCATCGGTTTTTGCAGGTGTGAGCGCTAGCTTTCCAGAGGTGTTGTGTTCAAGCGAATAAGAGGTAAATAGGACAAATAGTGGTGGGATGCCAAGTTTTATCACAGAAGAATTTGTTCAAGATATCAACACCTGAGGTACTGACATTGCAAGAAAAAAATTTGCGAGAAAAAAGTGACATACAATCTGACATCGGCCCCACTCTTTACATTTTGTACACTGTTTGTTTTGCTATATATATAAGAATCATAATCAAACTTTAGTTTCCACCTGATTCCGGCTATCGATGACTATTTTCATCCTAAACGAATTAGGGACGTCCTTACTCCAGTAACATATGTATTAATAACAGATAAGCTCGACAATAGCGTAACATAGATTTATGAAGCGTACACTGGGCACATTCAAATATGAGAGGATGGCTTTAAAGACACTATGTCAGATATGAAGTCAGAAAATGTACACTCACACTAGTAATATTTTAAGTGATACATATGACTCATGACACCCCACCCCCAATTAGTCACAAGGAGAAATAGTGAAGGTAATGCCCATGCTGGTAATGTGAACTCCCACTGTGTATGTGGTGCACTTAATTGCACTATAGCACGCTTTAGTGCAGGCATATAAGACTTAGCGAGGGCCGTAACGAAACATTTTAGTTCAATTAATGTCATAAATTTTTAATATCGATAATTAAACATCGGTTAATACGTCCGCTCCTGGATTGTTCAAGCTCTTCAAGGTAACTGACGCAAAATTAAAACGATACAATTGCAAGACATTCAACTAAACAGCTAAAGCATTGTTTACCCCCCACCCCAAGGGTTAAATTACAGTGAATATCATGTTTCATGGAAGTCAGACAAAGCATACCATCTGTACCTCAGTAACGGAACCAAGATTATATCAAACTGGACTGCTGTTACTTACTGGGAAAAAAAAATATATTCACTGGTAACGAGATCATTCTTGGAAGCAAAAACCAAGAAGGGACTTGTGATAGATTTCTCTGTTGTTTTTTTTTTTTCCATTGATGTATAGACAAAAATGCTGTTGTTGCTAATAGTCACGTGGAATGTCTAAGAGATTCAACATTTGTCTTTTTCCGTAATAACTAGTTCCCCCAACATTGGTCTGTCTCCATTACAGTTTGACAACCACGAAGAAAATTTTGCCCTTTCAACAAAGAATTTTCGATCTTGGGACCTGTGGTCAGTTTCAATACTTTCTATGAAAGAGCACATGGCTGAACATACTCTTAGAAAATTTGTATTGACTGTTTTTGGTTGTGTCATTACAACGCGTTGCATAGCAAAGTTCGTTTAAAACGCAAATAAAACGATTCTGCCATTATATGAAATTTCGTTGGCTAATATATGTCGTTCATTTGTCCTTTTGACGTGAAGTGGTCTTGTACGTGATCTATACTGCTATACTCTACTTGTAGGTTTAGATACAACGTATCTTTAAATGTGTATACGAGGTCAGACGATTAAGCACGAGAGTGCGCAAATATGAACAGCATTTCACGCGCAAGCCCCAAACCCATAAGCAAGACGACAGTCTACATGAACATATATAAGTATACATTCTGCAGCAATTCTGTACTGTAAGCAGCATATGTACACTTATAACGAGCTATAGCTGATTATGGAATGTCAGAAACAACAAGACTAGCTTTATTGTACATGTATATGCTTGACTTTTTGTTTTCTGTTGAAAAGAAAATTATTACATATGTAATTAAGCTTTTTTTTGACGAGATTACTTAGATTTATATATAGTTCATAAAATTAACTTTTAGAGCAGTAAATCATTTTCTTTAGAAATTATTTCTTACCAATGTATGTTTGACGATCCATGGTTTCTTTTCCTACGCTGTTTCTTTATTTTACCATTCTTCTTTCAGATGAATTTGAGATATATGCTATCTTTTTATTCGTGCGTAATGGAGATAATTAAATTTTGCTCCAAGTTACATAGTATATGTGCTAAGCTACAGATACAAAAATCTGGTACCTGTGATCAGGTTATCTCTCTTGGTAATATACCTTACAACAGCTGCCCTACAATATTAATTTTTAACCTCTTCAGTCTGTTAGCGATTATTTCGGTCACAGCAACATCCACCTTCAATAATTTCTAGATTCAGGCAAGATACTGACAAATCATGCCAATGAGCTACGACAGTTTTAATTGTGTCGGTGTGTTGGATAAGGGCGGGGATGTCTTCTCTTATTATTCTTATGCTTATAGACAAAGGTGAAAACGTGATTTATCCGCCCTTAGGGCAGCACTCTTTTGGTGGCACTCACCAGTTATTATGTACTTTTGAGAGAGTGATGTATGTAAGGTGAAGTTGTTTGCATTTTAAACATGCACAGTGGAGAGAATGTTGGCATACCTATATACTACTTTCATCCAATGTGGATGAAATTTCTTTGGATATTGTACTTTTGGAAATTTTAAATGATCTTAGGACACTGCTAACTAAAATGACTGCTCCCTTGTGCTCCAAAAATCAACCTAAATTTGTCTAAAGTACACTATTATTGGCAGCTATTAAAATATGGAAAATGAATTTTGCCAAGGTAGATAACACAAGCTTCTAAAAGTGCAATGACTGAATTACTAAATACATAAAATGTAAAAAAAAAAAAGTTATCGGCTCTTTTTCTTTTACAATTCACCTCTGAAGTTCGAGAAGTGAAAATGAGCAAGTAGAGCTAGCACTATTTTGAAAGATGCACATCTGGAGTAAGGCCAAGCTGTGTACTCTTTAACCCATATTACACCCATCAATCATACATCAAAATAAAGGGAATTATAGGTTCTTTGAACAATACATAAGATATACAAAGTCTCTTTTAAATAACCAGTATAACTAGTGAGAAAACCCGGAGAAACTATTTTTCTTTAAAAATGTTAACCCTACGCTAAATACGAAACTGTAGAGCGCCACCTTTGCATCTGAGGAGCCTGTGAAACCAGCTTTCGGCAATAATTCAACCTGTTATAAGTGATGTAGTCCTAAAAACAGACTTTAGTACGTCCATTATTCACAACGCATACTAATTATTCTTAATATAAAACTATAATCAAAGTTATTAGAATTGGTTTTCCCATCAATCATTTTTTTATACGCAATAAAATGGTCGACAGCAAACTTTTTTAAAGTCAATTACTAATCATTTATTCTTTGTTCCAAAAATTTTCTGGATCTTTGAATTGATAGAGCGCATAAATGAAAATCGAGTAAGCCAATACATTAAAAAAACAGCCCCGAGATTCGCGAGCAAAATAAAAAATTCCACGGCTTCATTTTAGATTTGTAAGTTTTGGACGCATGTTTTATAATCAAAGAATGCTCCCTTAAATATAATGCACAGCACGAAACTAAATTTGAGCAAATACAGCTATCGGACAGCAACAATTATCCAGCTGAGGAGTCCATATTTGGATGAAGCTGAACACATTTCTCTCTCTCTCTCTCTCTCTCTCTCTCTCTCTCTCTCTCTCTCTCTCTCTCTCTCTCTCTCTCTCTCTCTCTCTCTCTCTCTGTTTTTCTTTTTTGAAATTTTCACCGGAATTTCTGAAGTTTCATAACAGATAACTCTCTCTCTCTCTCTCTCTCTCTCTCTCTCTCTCTCTCTCTCTCTCTCTCTCTCTCTCTCTCTCTCTCTCTCTCTCTCTCTCTCTCTTTTGAAAATCACCGGAATTTCTGAAGTTTCATAACAGATAACTCTCTCTCTCTCTCTCTCTCTCTCTCTCTCTCTCTCTCTCTCTCTCTCTCTCTCTCTCTCTCTCTCTCTCTCTCTCTCTCTCTCTCTCTCTTTTGAAAATCACCGGAATTTCTGAAATTTCTGAAGTTTCATAACAGATAACTCTCTCTCTCTCTCTCTCTCTCTCTCTCTCTCTCTCTCTCTCTCTCTCTCTCTCT